GCACACGGCAGCTGTCATTCGTCTACAATCGAACGATTCAGATAGACTGTTTAGGTTAAAACTTGATTCGCGATTATGGCCACAGTGAATCTGATATCTGTGACGCTAATATTTCTGGTGATTCTGATGGACCGCTAAAAAAGAAAGCAGTTTGCTATTTGCAGACGACCATGCTTTATTAGCATCTTCTGAAACTGATCTTCAGCGCTGCTTAGAAAGGTTCGCAGCGGAGCGCGACGGGACCGGCATCCGTGTGAACGCATCTAAAACGAAAGGCCTAATGCTTTTTCTTCCCCCTGTCCGTTGCTCTCTTCAGATTAACGGAGAGGTAATTGAGCAGGTGGAGAAGTTCAAGTATCTGGGACTCGTATTTACTTGTGATAGTAAATTTGAGGAAGAGGTCGACCGGCGAATTGGAGTAGCCACTGGCGTTCAACGTGAATTAACCTGTAACGTTATGACTGTGGCAGTGTTTAGTCTAATGACTAAGCTTTCTGTGTTCACGTCAGTTTTCATCCCAATGCTTGCCTGTGTTCAGGAGCGGTAGATCATGAATGAAAATATTTTGATATCGGGGAAACACGTCGAAATGGGCTTTCAGACATTAACCGCTGAGCAAGACACGGACCGCGGTACACATATCCAAAAGAGAGTTAGGGTGTAGCCGCTGCATTTTCAGATGCAAAAGTCGTAGCTGCAAAGGTTTTCGCACGTTTGGGTTTTTTCTTCATCTCTTTTTCTTCTCCTTCTTCCTTGTTCTTTTCTTCTTTTTCTACTGCTTCTTCTTCTTCTTCTCATCATGACCATCATATCAGAGCAGCAACACCAGTATTTCCCCTTCAGAAAATGAGAGAATTGTGAAGGCGTTTATTCAGATACCGTTTAGAGAGTGACGGTGTCTTATGCGAGATGTGTTCGCTTTCTAAGTTGACCAGTAAACATAATTGCAAGTACGGGCATAACCAGGACACAAGTCAACTTGAACAGGCCAAAACTAAAGTAGGTCGTGATCGAATGCGGTTTGTGGGTTTCTCATGAGCAAAGGGGCATTGTTAATTGTGCCAGGTGTCTCTTTCCGCACCATTTACGCATTAGCAATAAAAGGAGGCTGGATGTTGAATTGCAGCAGTTTTAGGGGGACAGGACAGCGCGAAACGAAGGAACAAGTCGTTAATCACGGTAAAATGTTGATGCATCTGTCAGCAGCGGCGGCGATCACCTTCGGAATCGGAACTGTTGTTTTGTGCCTGATTTCGGTGTCGTCGATCGTACAGCTGATCAGCAAGGCTGAGAGTGAAGCTATGACCTCCTTTGAGGAGTTTGAAGTTTGTTAGTATGAGTGTGCCAGATTTCGATTTTAACTCTCCATAAACTGTAGATAATGTGCAGAGAGGTGCAGAAAGAACTAGACGAAAGGCAGAAGCCCACAAAAGCTGCCAAACGTAGCCTTAGGCGCTTCTTCGATAACGGATATAACGGATACGCTAAAGCTCCTCGTTGTGGTATAAAACTTTTCTTAAATGATTTTATTAAAATAAACGATATTTCTGTTCAGAATGCTTCGCTAACTTCATGTGTGCTAAAGGACTACCTGGTGTGCCAGGGGAACCAGGTGTAAACGGGTAATGCAGAGAATATCGAATCTTTTCTACTAGCGCCTTTAAGCGTTCCTGATTTAGTTTCAACGGTGAAGATGGTTCGCCTGGACATGATGGTCTCTCAGGCGTACATCCGCCAATAGCGTTGTCGTTGGATGGATCTTGTCGGTGGTGTCCGCCAGGCCCAACGGGTCCAGAGGGTCCCATTGGACCGCCTGGAATATCAGTAAGATTATTAAAATTAATATGCAAAAAATATTTCGATGGAACAATAAATTGACTTATCATTTTAGGGTCAAAAAGGCCCGAATGGAAGTCCCGGAAAATGCGGATTAGATGGTTCGCCAGGACCTCCCGGAAGAAAAGGTGTCAGAGGTGAATTCGGCAAGGCTGGTACCCCGGGACCAATTGGTCAGCCAGGCGCCGATGGCCTCATAGCCTTTAGAGGGCACTGTGGAGAAAAAGGACTTCCTGGATTGTCAGGTGATCCAGGACCTTCAGGAGTACACGGAGTACGCGGCAGTCCTGGCATTCCGGGAGAGGATGGTCCTGTTGGTCCCGTAGGTCTAACAGGATTTCCTGGTGTAGAAGGTCCAGAAGGCATGGTCGGAGTGCCCGGAAATCCTGGAGCTGATGGAATGTATTGTCCCTGTCCCAAGCGAAGCGGCTCTCCGTATTATGGACGATATAGATTTTCAGATTAGTCGTGAAAACTACTGGTAGCTGCTTGTTTTTGTTAAAAATGAAGTAGTTTCAATTGCAAATGGCTCGATACTAAACTGTGTGCAATGTGAGTACAAAAATTCGAATTTGATGCACAAATTGTTTACATGCTCTTGATATGTTTTCGCATTTTTTTCAGTAGCTTAACTGACCGTTCAATCACTACCGTAGCTAGATATCGAAGAGTAATTGGTCATAATTCTACTACAAAATTTAAATTCGAATTCAATTTAATTCATTTGAATTCCATTCAGTTCTTGCTAGTAATGAGATACGCCAACTGTGATATTATGTGAACAAATACGTAGTCATGCAGATAAGTTTATATACATAGTTTTCCATGAGTTTTTCAAAGTTGCTCTGAGCAAGCGCAATGACTGAAATTAAAAAACTGAGGCAAATTTTAATTGTAGTACAAGTGATCATGGGCGAAATCATGTTTAGTTGGTTTCTGAGAAATTAACGGGCAAGTAAAGCAGTATAGAATGTTCTTCGCGTTAAGAACGGATTTGGCAAATTTAGGGATTTGCCTCCGCGTGAATTTTATCATCGCTGTAGCTGAAGATTAAAATTAAATTAAACCATTCACGTTTTATTTTAGCCGGTCGTTTCGGAAAACCCAAATAAGATCCAAGTAGGCCAGCGCACACCACTGGGTCAGACGTGAAAAAGCTGGAATAATGCTGGATTTAATAAACTGGTTGCCGCCTATTCCGGTCGTGGGAGTCAATCAAGCGCATCAGACATTATCAATCAATCAAAAGGGATACTGCTTAAATTAGCATAAATGACACATAGAATTAGCATAGACTAACATTTCAATAGTCACTGATTCATTTATGGAACAATATCCATATGCTGTTTAACATAAGACGTAATACGCAATAAAATGACAAAGCATCAGACAATGTAGTATTAACCCAGAACATCAAGTATGTCGTTTGTCAGTGTACATGCCTAAGAAAAATGGCAGATTCGGTTCGTACTCGAATGCCCTCATGCAATCCAACTCAATGATGTGATCTTTTTTCCATCCACTGGAGTGCTCGAAGATCATAGAGGCTTTCTTAAATGATTCTCCTTCAAAGAAGATTCGAAGAAAACGAGTGGGGGGGGTGGGCCATGCGCTTACGCCGAGCAAATCTGGTATCAGAAATTCAAATGTTATGATTACAGGCGGAAATGCAAAACTATGTTGTGGATGCAATCCCCAGGCATCAGGACTACCTTTTGTCTAAAAAACAACTAATGGAGGATGAAGATGAATTGATTTGAGTCTGATCTGATCGATATGTGGTTAGATGAATACACTTGGGGTGGCAAACAATGACCGTTTCAGGACAACTCGCCTAGCTTTTCGCGCGGAGATCAATTGACGATTTATGCTCAAGTTCTAGCTTGATGCATTCGAAATCATGGCCAAAGTTAGCTTGATATTATCAAGATTAGCTCAGCAAGCTTTCGATAATTTATCAGCAAGTCTTCTTTGTCAGCTCGGCTTTCAGCTTAGTAGAGACCATGTTGACAACATTTGAAATCAGTGCCGGATTTCACCCGGCAAGTGAAAGTGCTATCATCAGCATATTTCATACATGGGCAGAGTCCGTAAACCGAAGAGAACTCCCATAATCTTTCAATCATAAAAAATCAACAAGGACTATTGAACATCAACCGAAATGTTTGAGGCATTTGCTAGTTTGACCTCACCCCAGAAGAATACCACAAGCATCCTATTTTTTCACCGATGATGCAATCAAACAAAATATATAAAAACAGAACGGATTAGGCCAAATTTGGATCCATGGGAGGTTGAACGTGGTTGAGGTTGATGCCGACAGCTTACTTGTCATGCAGCATTGCAGACATTCTTCAGGTTCATATCACTGTTCCCGTTGAGATATATATCGATAAACTAGTAGAACACATGCTCCTTATTTTTGCAGGACGCCAAGTTCGTTTTATAGCAAACTTCGCTTGAATGCTAACAATCTATTTCACAAATCACGTCGGAAAAGCGCTGAGAAACGGCAATTTTCCGTTGGTCACCAAGTCGATCTTATTAGTGGTCAGGAATGTGCAGAATGCCGTTAGTTTACAGATTAGGCAATATATTTGCTTAAATTAATAGAAATGTTGTGTAGGTTCAGCTCATATACCGGCATGAAAGCGCTCTGAAGTCCGGATCCGCCTGTCAGAGTCGACTAACTAGGGTTAAGGAAAGGTGCCGCATGAGAAAAGTGCAGATCGGTTTACTAAATTCCATGAACCCGGTAGGATGAAATAAACAGTACTATCGAAGAAAAACGAATGAACATATGCAAAACTTAATAGGATTGAAGGATGCTAATTTTGTAGTCAATGACAAACCTACTCGAGGCAGGAGACAAAAAATTCACTTTTATTCAGCTGATTGTAATGAACAATTAAAATAAATAAGAATTCTTTTCCAAAGCCTTCGATTCTGGGCCCGCAAATCATCAAGGATATTCATCTTCAAGTAAGAGAAAGTTTATTGATGAATTTCTGGCCCAGAATCAAAAACTCTTTTAAGGAAATTCTAATGAAACTATGTGATCACGTTACCCTAAAGTTTGCGAGCAACAATTTTTACGTTCTTTTCAGGAGACAGTACTTTTGTCTGCTCACATTTGGATCTTTAAAAATTGCGGCTAAGAGAGGATGACCGTTCTGTTGTTGTGTTTTTTGTGGATGGTTGATACTGAACTATACCATAATGGAATTAACACGCCATGGTTCATCAACAACTTACCACGTAATAGGCGATAGCTACTTCCGAAGATGTTAGAGGTCATTTTCAAAACCTTCAAATATTGCTTTTCTGAAGACATGTAGAATTAAACGATTATGACAAAAATGAGCAATCAGTTTTATCAACAGTTTTGAGATTTTGAAGTCGTACTAGAAAAAACGGGGAGAATAATGGCTCGTGCCTAACCTATGAGGGAGTAAATAAGAAACGAGCCCTCTATCTGGTTCTTTTGATGCATTAAGTGCTTAGAATTCAAAGAAAAATACGAAATCATTCACTGCGTTTAAATATTAGCTTTATGTACTCGTAACAGGAGCATCATACCTTAGAATGACACTTAATTACCTTCTGTCATCAGGGTAGCAATAACTCTTCTGTACATGAACCATGATTATTCAACATTTACATATGTTAGACTATTCTTGTTGTTCAGCTTTTCCTGCAAAGAATATTAGAGGAGCTGTTGAGGTTAAAAGAGAGCGACCTAACAATATGATTGACCATCTAGCTCAAATGCCAGGCGCCCGTTTTATTATAGAATGATTATGACAAAAGCAACGATCTGCTTAACTTTGTGTATGACAATACGCGCATTATTAATTTGAAAAAACGTGAAAAATATCGGCCTTGCCGTGGAAAGAAATATTTATGTCAATCCCACAGCGGTCAACCTTGAAATTCCGTTATAACCAAAATTGTTAAACAAATCGACACCTAACAACCTGCAAACCATTTACATTGGTTATGAAACCACAGTCAAGATTCAAGAAGCTTGGTTTCAGTAACGGGCTGCTTTTGCGCTTGTTCCGGAAATATTTTCGCATTCAATAGACGTCGGCTCGCTCATAGCGACCGACCATCCTGTCGATGTGTTATTTCAGGAGCAGCTTTGATTTCTCATCGCTTTCTGTGTGTTATGTTTGGGTTTTTCCTTCGTCTGAAGCGTCGAAACGCGCGAACAGCTGCTACCGATTTCCTTGTCGTTCATAACTGTCTTTTTGCCGCACTTTTTTTCCGACAACGTATCAGTCAAAAGAAACGCATCGCAGATTGGCCAAAAATAGGAGGAAATGAGGGAACGAGAGAGTCAAATGAAAATTTCGTCTAAGACCGTCGTTCATTCGTCGTTAGGCACACCTCCATATTTCTTCGTCGACAGAGAGACAAAAACGAGACGCATTTGAATGGATGGGTACGCTAAAATGGGTCGTTTGAAAGGGTGGTGTAACATGTTGCCTTGTCTACGTAGGTCATAGGCGTAAGTTACTGGTTACGTTGAGGGTTATACTCTCTTGGAACCACGTTGAACTGTCATTATTGTCCATGGTGTACTTGGTTGAAGCAGACTCTTCATAGCTCCTTACTGTTTCGTATTTTTTGAGTATGTGCTTATTTGTGGTGTCCGCTTTATTTCTTTCTATGTGCAGTTTTGAAAACTGAAAACATAAAAACGGTCTCTGTGTCCAACGCTATCGGGTGATTGACCAGTACTGGCATTTCGCCTTATCTCTCACGAGTCTTTTCCGAGTTTTTTTCTGCACTTAATTGTATGGTCTGGAGATGTTATGGCATCTGGAGTGAAAACATACTTTTGGCCCATGCTGCAGATTACGTATTTTTTGGGCCAAGGGATTGATAAGGCTTGTATAATCCACATGGAGTTCGTATCCGTTGTCCGGGTTGACATTTTCACAGGATTTGATAATTATTATATACAGATGGTTGAACGATTCATGGTTCAAGGCACTAACGCAACAGATTCAGCAACAGCCTTAATTCCGCCGTTGCCGGTCCAAAACTCAGATGAGAAAGGCGAAGGGTTGGAGGCGGTGGTGAAGTCTGCGTAAAACTTAGTCACCTGTCCATCATGATATTGCTATCTCTGGCGTGGTCGCCCCCGGGTTACCAAGGGCAGCGCAGGCTGTTTGGGGGACTGAGACAAACTGCGAAAAGTCGGCGATCAGAACCTGCTCATTGCCCTCTGCCAGACGGGGGGCGTAGCAGCACAACAACGGCTGACGAAGACCGACGGAACGACGACGAAGATACCAGTCAGCAACG